CACGCTTCAACCTGAACCATGCTCCTTCCACCCATATCTAGCTATTCAACATCCTAAAGAGTCAATTTATCAACTAGTCATCTAAATCTCTAATCCTTTTCTAATTACCACTTTACCCCTAATTAATAACTAATCACGGGATTAGAAAATTAGGATGTTAATTGATCATCATATAAGTACCCATAATGTTACTTTGATAGGTGCAACAGTGACCAATTCGTCAAAATGACATTTTCTCACATGATATTCATACAATGACTAATTAACCTCCAAGAAATTTTATCTGGGAATACTTTTTATCCATATCAACAAAAAAAAGGTTAATTTCTACTTAGGTATCAACTAAACGGTCAACATTTAAGGGATTTGATGGATTGGTCACTTTTGCACTAACTTTGGTAACATTACAAGTATTTTTGCTCATAGTCAATGACTTCGTGGGTATTTTTACCCCTTTATTAGTTTGTGTCAGCTAAGACTGACACGTGACATGTATAGTCATCATTTAACGGTCAAAGTTAATGGTGTTAGGTTAAAGTTAACAGTTTGATTACTTTTGCACCCACTTGTGCAACATTATTGGTATTTTTTTCCTTTTCTTTACTTTATGATATTGGGTGTCTCTAGCTAACTACTTTATGAGTATTTTTGTCCCATTACCCTATAATAAATATATGAAAGTGTTTGTATATAGATGATTCTAACTATTTTATTAAGAAATAATATTTCAAGGAAAATTCTATGGGTAATCTAAGAGTAATTGGAGATTACTCTTGAAAGAAATTCAACATGAATGATGTTCTCTCAACAGAATTCTGCAAAGGGAGGTGAGCAATCAAACATGTTTTCCTTTTCTTTAAATTATTTATCATTTTTATTATAATGTTTGTGGCATGTGATAAATTTTAATTTACTTGGAATGGATAATGATTATATTTTGATATTCAAATATGACTATCATTACGATGAATGATTGTAAAAGCTAGAAAGAAATAGCAAGAGTTGTAAGACTAAATATGATTTAGTTCATGAAGAACTTATGAAAACTAACCTCATTTTATAATTGAATAAAATTTATATTCTCTATAAATAATATTTAATAGTGAGAATTAATTAATCACTCATTTAAAAAAAAGTCATGTTATTCTTTGTAAATTTATTTGTGATGTTATTTTCTTGAGTTTCAAATATTTTATTATATTGATTATTGAATGTCGTATTAAGATTATAATTGTAGCCAAAAATATACTATGACAAATAAAATTGTTATAGTGAATTGAAAGTTTACTATTAACTTAGTATAGTATACCAAAAGTATAATGACATTATTTGGCGTGACCAATTAGATCATCATAAATCAATATTGACGCAAAGTATTGAGAATTTACAATGACATCTATTGAAGAACCAAAAGATTTTTCCTAAATAGCCAACATGTTGTATGCTTAAAGAATTATCATATGTTACTCAACGAAAATTGTAAAATTATCACTAGCAATGATTTAGATTGGATCCTAAACTTTTATGAAATATATTAAGTTGATATGAGCTCATTTAGGCAACATATGAACCGTAGAAATATATAATGAAATTAATAAACGAATCTACAATATGGTTACATTGGTGTATATTAATCAATTTACAACAAGAAGTTTGTGATTGAAAAATTATATTATGGGCACATTTTTTAGTCTAGTGATCAAGATAATTCTCTTGAAAATCCATGTGATTTCATATATCAGGCTTCAATAAATTTTGATATGAAGAAAAGCCTATTTTCCATAATGGTCAAATAAAAGCATTTATGCCTCCAATGAGATGATTAGGCCAATATTTGGAAAACAAATTTTTCCATAAAATATGCTAGTTTGCATGTTGCAGCACTTATATGCATTAAGTCAATAAAATATTATGAATATCCCCTAAATTTGGCTTTTTGTCAAGATACAGAGATTTTAATCGTGCAAACTCCACCACAATTTATGAAATAGATCAAATAAAGTTGGAAGCAGATGTTGGGTCAGATACTTATTCTTGTTTGTTTCTAAATGAAACAGAAGGATGTTTTTATAGCAAACAAGTGGATCTAAAAGACTTATATTGTATGGTTTGTTATCCTAAAATGAAGGGGAGATAATGAATAAATGGAAATGACAATAAATGAATGCATTCTCTATATCTCATATAAATCCTCATGTGTATGTTTGTATGTATGTATGTATTTATGTATGTATATATGTATGAACTAGAAGTTCATAAAATGTTGCATTCACAGAATATTAGAAAATAATCACTAGAAGTAATTATTGATATGATGAAAATCAATGAATTGAATCATGTGTGTAGCGTGAAAGACAAATTGGTTTCAAAAATAAAAAATCTTATAAAAAGAGAAAAAAGGAGCATATAATTAAGATAATTATATTAAGGAGGTTGGCATTCTAAAAAAATGAATACATAACTGACTTTTTAAATCCCAAAAGAGGATCAGGTAATCGATAACAATGAAGATATCTTGAAAAATTATGTCAATATGAGAAAAGATGAAACTAAAATGAATAAAATTGTTGACAATACTTTTAATGAAAACGAAGAAAAATTACAACAAATGAGGATTTTGATAGAATGTGAATAAAAAGCTAATCAAAGTACAAAAAATGACACAATACAAGTAGAATTACATTCACTTGTTCATGATATGAAAGTTTTGAACTTATAGTTCAAGCACATGAAGTGTGATATTATACATGAGTATTTATGAGAAAGAGAATTAATGTCACATGAAAAGTTTGACTTTCAATATAAGAATATTTTACAAAGATCAAATACATGCATCAATATATTATCTCGTGGTGGATGAAATTATATCTGGACATGTTACTAGTCTAGTAGTATAAAAATTTGATATGTGTCTAGTGAATGCGGACTTATTTATATGACTCTCTATACAATGATATTTACTTAAAAATTTTATCATGATTTAAGACGACAAAAGCTTCTAAAGATTTTTTAGAAATTTTCTTCGTTATTATATATGCTCGTATGATTGTATGCTTATTGATTTGAATAAAAAATGATTGATTTAGCATTATTTAATATTTTGAAGAGTTTATATGAACACTTGATTGTTAAATAAAAATGTTGAGATGTTGGATAATTAAAATCGAAATTATTTTTCTTCAAGAAAATAATGAAATATGGTCCTAAACAATTGAAAGTGGTGAGTTTCAATAGTGAGATACATGAGTTTTAGAGTGTGACAATTTAACTAAAGTTCTAGACTACTCATCCTTGTAAGGATGAGATCCTATCCTCATGAGTATTAGTTCAGTTGTTGCAACTTGGGTCATTGTTCTTTCTCATCCTCACAAGTTCTAGTGTGACTCACATGAGTTTCAGTTTGTTACTTAAGTTTGCCTAAGTTTGAGCTTTGAACACCTAAGCTAAATTATCTTCATCATAAGTGTTCAAAACTTGTCTAATCACACTTACAAGCTCAAGATCATACCTGTGCAAGTTTTGACGTGTTCAAAAGGCCTTTGATCTCTTGCATTTATTCCTTGCATGATCTAGATTGCCTCCACTCGTGTTTCAGTCTTCCATAAAAGCTTGTGCTTCTGTATCCTTAAAACATGTGAGTATTATAATGAGTCCACACGTGTAATGTGCTCTCATCAATGAACCTAAAACATGTGAGTTTTAAAGTTTTGACACACATTAAATGAGTTTCACATAAAAAGTAATTTTGCCTAGTTTCCTCATGTATACACGCAATGTAACAACTTTAAACAACTAAATGAGATCTCAAACAGTTATAATCTTTCTCACACTATAAATAAAACCTCATTTAAGTGTTTGAGTGTTTGTAAACTAAAATCAAGACTTGTGAAGTAATGGGATTGTATTGTAGTAACAATCATCCATTGAAACTTATGACTATAGTGAAAATCATAAATATAATCTTAAAGATTAGACATAGGCCAAATGATTGGGTCAAACATACTCTGCTTTTTTGTTAGGAAAAGATATTAAGAACTTGATGCCTAATTCACCTTTTTTTGGGTGACCAACTTATTTAATAACAATACCTCAAATAAGATTGCATCTAATAGAAAAATACATTTGGATAGCCAAAAAAAAAAAAATCAAAATTCTATTCACCTTCTTTGAAAGGGGAAAAAAGAATATTGTATCATCAACATAAGCATGATAAGCAAGATGAGAGATTGGTTTTGAATAAAAGGAGTAGAATCAAGTTACATGAAATTGCTTGAACAACCTATTATAAGAGTTAAATTGAATTAAAAAAAAAATACTCATATAAAAATAGTCTTTTCTACCTAGACCAAATAACTTGTGTACCAAATGAGTTATCCTCGATGGGTTAAGATTGTCTTATTTAACCCATGTTATTTATAATAAAAAAAAACAAATGAAAATTGAAAAATATAAAAACTGGAGGGAATTTAGGCATAAAACCCTACAAAACAAGCAAACTTTGAAATGAATCACGATGGAATTAATCAATTACATACATTTATGATGTGATTTTTTTATTTGCATAGAATGTCACCTGAAAACTTCTCATTTAGGTGTAATTCAAAAAAAAAATGTTCATGAAAAAATATAAATAAACATATTGATAAGTTAGTCCATTTAATCCACTATCTCACGAGAGTCAAGTTGGGTTTAGATTTTTGTCAACCTATGTAGGAATGAGTTAAACCTAATCCAACCTCTATTTTTCACAATATACAGGCTGGGTTGGCCCATATTCCGACCAAAAAAGAGATAGGACCTCCTTACCCAATTAACCTTTCTAGAACAAGCTGCTACATGATCCTCCCATTGACAAGCAAGTGGCAAGCAACAGAGTATTAACCATACTAACTAATCTTCATACACTTCCACACTAAGAGCATGTGATCTATACATGAAGTGCTTGTGGTGTAGCGAGCAGCAAGTGAAGTAGTCTTTGTGTGTGAAAATAAAACAAAATCTTCAAAAGATATCTATTTAAGATTATCTAAGATAAAAAATTAATATCAATTAACAAACAGATCCAAGATACTCAACAACCTGTGAGGGGGGACATTGTACATTGATGACTTCAGGGAGGGCCTTACCAACTACAGCACAACTAATATTGGAGAATGGATCAAACATAATCCTCCAATTAAAATTTTCTTAAATCCTAAGACAAAATCATAACTGGGAGCAAACCTACAAGGGACCTTAATCCAAAATATAATATTAATATCTAGGAGAAAACAAGTAAGGATCTCATAAGAAGTTTAAGGTCAAATTAAGATTTTTAGTACTAAAATATAGGAGAATGAGTATTGAATTTGGAAACTTTAGTTGTGAAGAAAACCTAATTTGGCATTAATTTTCTTAGGAAATCCTTACTTGTAATTTCCCTTAATATCCATAATTGCAACTCTCCCCAGTTCATGCGTCCTGAATTCCAAGCATTGCAACATCGTGTGACCCCTGAATTCAAAATGATAAAAACTTCCCTTCTACTTTAAAGATATCACGAGGAGAAGCAATAATGAGGATGGGCAAGAAATTATTATTCCTTGAAGTCATCTTTATCATCAAGGGGAATTGGTCTGTTCCTCCAAAACACAGCAAGAGCACTACCTCCAAGCTGCATTAAAACAGAGACAATCTAGTCATTAGTACATTTCTAGATCCTGAAACAAGGATTGAACAAACAAAGAAATGATGAGACGATTCAAGCATGTTCACAAAAATTGGAACATGTCATACCGCCATGCAAACAACACTAACAGCAGAAGGAACTGCCACAAGTGGGTTTGAAAAGTGCTTCTGAGCAAGCAAAAATCCCAGTGCTGAGCTCTGCAGATATACCAGAAGTTAGAAAATAATGAGCATACAACTTAACTTAGATCAGTTACTTGTTTTTAGTCAAAGAAATCTATGGCACATAAAAGCAGACTTTAGATCATCTATAATACATACATTTAGGAAAGAGACTGACATAAAAGAATGGAGATGCAATTTCTAGATATATACTGTACATTTCTTTCAAGTTGTTATATAATTTCTTTCTTTTTCAAAATATATATTGCATGTATATTTTCTAAATACAAAAGATCCAAATCTCATAAAATGCACTTCACTTTTGTTTGGTACATATGACCATGCAATACGTATTATTTTACAAAACAAACGTTTAAGCAGTCCAAACATGTATAGATGTACATCCCTTCCAATGATAACCTCGGTTCATGACATACCGAACAAGATAATGAACATTTGTTGAAATGTTCAATGAGTCTATTACATCACATAATCTTACTGATGTATACCTAAGTGAGATAAGAAACCTACTCCAAAAGCTAGCTGTTAAGATGGGAAAATCAACTCACTAAAATACCTTATTAAGTATCCCATACTAGTTAATATTGGACTTAATAACTCATACTACCAAGTGTCCATCAATTGGCCTCTCATGGAAAGCTAACGTCTCAGCAGCTACACTCCATGTCACTTGATGATCAAAAAAGATTTTAAATTACTAAACCTTTTTATCTTTATAAAGATTATAAAGATTAAAATTTTAACAAAATTTTACTTTGTAAAATATACAAACCAAAATTTTAAATAGTTAAAACTATAAGAATTAAGTTGCAAGAATCAAAGTTTAGAAATTAAGTTACAATTGAATCAAAACTATTAAGAACTAGTTACAAATAGTCAAAATTCATATAACTAAATCAAAACTATAAGAGTCAAATGATTAATTTTCCCTTCAAAATTTATCCACTAACTGAACACATCATATTGACTTATGAAGGAATAAATATCATGAACTATCAATGTGGATAAACCAATAAGATATAGAATGGATTTTTACCTGCATCCCACACTCTATAGATATCGTGCGAGATGTTGATTCACCAAATGAGATTTTTGAAATCCAATAACCTAGAGCAAATGCAGCACTATGTAGAATGACAACTGGCAATATCAATTGCGTGCCTTGAGTTTTCAAGACATCTGCAACTTGCCCAATCTGAGAAGTTAAAGCATGTCAATTTTCAATGCAATGTAACAACCACTATATGAAATACAAGGAAATTAAAAGCTAAAACCATCAAAGATAAGTACTGGTTTCTGAACCCCACCATTTGAAGTTGAGAATACTTACAGGGCTAGCACAAAGAAGAGTGGTCAAAATGACTCCTATCAAAGGTGTAACTGTAATTATCTTAGAGGTGAACTTGGGGAAAAATTCATTTGCCAACACTGTCACATAAAGAAATATTATCAAAAAGGAATTTAAAGTCTTGCTATTATACATCACATCAATTGAAAACATGTTAGACTATATTGCAGTTTCAATGCATCAACTCTCAGCAAAAGTAAATTGAAAGATCCATCTCTTACCTCCCACAATTGTTGGCACTAAAACAACCTGAAATGTGCTAATAGCTAGGCCCTGGGAAACAAAAATCCCCACCTAAGTGAAAATTCCAATTGGAAAACTGACAAGGTATCTTGTAAATATACTCGGTTTTTGACAAGACAAGACATAGGTAAGGTTCTTAGGGCCCTTGCTATTACGTTCTTTAATTAAACCATATCATTGAAACATTTCTAAAGCCTCAAAACCATATTATTGACTTGTTAACAAGATATCTGTGTCATTATTATAGAGAACCTAATAGCAAATACCAAAGAACTCTACCCAAGATATATCCATTTTAAAAGATCTCGCCAGATAGCAGGCCACTACTGTCTCAACTTACAGCAGCATCAACTGGAACAAGTTGGCCAGCAAGAAGCTTTGTTAGGAGGGGTGTCATTACAATAGCTCCAATTGTTGAACACCTGTATAAGTATTGAGAACAACTTTAAACATCATTATAGTCAAATAGACCCATTGCTTGGAGGATGGAAAGGGAACCATCAAATATGTCTTCGTAGACATTAATCAACCACTTTTTTTTCTTTTTAACTTTTTGAAGTTAGGGTTCATAGGCTACTTCTTACCCTCAAAATTAGTTTATGTTAGTCTATTTTCATTATACAATCCAAATGAGCCCCAAGAGCTGAAATAAATACACTATACAAACCAAACATAAACTATCAAAGCTACCTCTTCCCTGTATAAATAATATCAACCTTCTCCCGCATTTAGTAATCACAAACTGTTCCTTAGCTTGTGGATCTTATCGATCAAGCTAAAGTCTTTTGCAAGCTCAGCAAGTTTATATTCAAAGTGTTAATTGTTATCAATCAATATCATATGTCAAAATTTATTCATAAACTTGCATGCAGGCATCAACATATTAACCTTTAACAGACAAAATTGAACAATTCAATTACATATTTACTAGTAATTAGCATGACAGTGACATATTAATCCAAATTCACCCATCTCTTCCTGAGTTAGCATTCGGAAACAGATAAAGAGATAAATTAAAATAAACAAGGACTATTAATCCATTTATACTGTACGGGTAAAGCAGGATAGGATAGCCACTGCAAATTATTTTGTTTAAAAAATGTAGTGCAAGCCAGAATAAAAGCTTTATCAATTAAACAGTTTTCAACTCAAAAGACAAAGTTATACTACTAGAAACAGAAAGACAGCCAAAAGTAACCTTAAATATGTATGCAGGTCAAACATACGTTGTCATAAGAACAGAAAGGGCAACATTTCCCTTGGATATGTAGGTAGCAACATTTGATGCCTGACCTCCAGGGCAGCATGAGACCAGAATAAGACCAGTTGCTAGAGGGGCTGAAAGTTTTAGAGCCTGACAATAAGATAGAAAGATATTAGAAGATAATGTAAAATAATAGTTCCTAAAATGATTAATGCACTAGCTAGCTATATGATAAAAATACAATATCTTACAAATTACAGACTCCCAATTTTGTCAAAAATTACACTCCCAGTTGTCATTGCACATATTTCACAGAAGGCAAGAACCATAGGGTCAACAAGTAAGACTGACAGGGGGCAAAAAGGAACTGAGCTGCACTCTTACAAGATCATTTCATCATCCGTAATTAACATCTACAGAGAAATGACATGGAAATCACCAAAAACGCCTTATAAACAAATAGATAAACTAAACCCTTGTGCCTACACTAAGATAATTTAAATTTATTGAAGACCAGGAGAGGTGTAAACAATGAACTATTAAAGATGACATTATTGTTATCACTAATCCATTCTGCAAGAAAAACAGATAACGAACTTGCATTGAAAATTAAGGAATACCATTGCAATAACAAACCCTAACATGGGTTTGATCAGATATTGTGCAAGAAATCCTACACCCACCTGCAAAGACAAAGCAATAAACTTAGACAGTGGGAATGAATAGTACTTTAATTTGTTTTAATGATTATTTGTCTCTTACAGTCCATGGATTCCGTAGACATCGTCTGAAATCCTCAAATGTCAATGTCAAGCCCATGGACAGCATAAGGAAACCCAAGCCAAGGGTAAACAGGTCTGTCTCCAACCAAGTTACCTGAGATAAGACATAACATCAAAGCAATAATTCAAATGTCTTTCTTTCCAGGACAAAAGTACATGAAGAAGGCAGAGTAACTACAGCAGCTGGCTTGTAAATGCCAACAATGGCCCCCAAGATGACCTGTCCATGGAGGTGAGACAACTATCAAACCATTGATCAAGCAAGAAATGATATGAAAGGTTTGAGATACTCGAGACAGAAGACCATCACTAGAGTTTGAGACATACCCACACTGGAAAAAGAGTGGTTAAGGTTTCAATCACTCTCTCATAGCGGCTCATCCTTCCAGCTCTTTCGGGAAGATTTCCAGATACATCTGTTGTAGCCTTGCACAAAATTTGAGAGTCCCCAAACCTAGCAGTTAACAAATAAATTTCATTTAAATAGAGAATTCAAAAGATCAAACACCAATAGACAGAGCAAAAGATTTACCAGACATTGCATATTTAACAGTAAATAAACTACATTTAATGCAGTTGACAAGCAAAGCCCTTTTCAGACCAAGAGAAGAACAAAGCCACACTTGGTAAGATTCGATATTCTTCGGTGGAAAAGGATTTAGACAACCCTAGTCTGCCAAATGATACTTAAAGTTTATAATAGACTATAATTTTAATATTAATATATCAAAATAAATATGCAAGCCTACTATATGATGCCTGTATACAAATTCAATAAAGCACCAATACAGTTACAGTTTATACCACGTCAGCATTTTTCTTCTTTTACTGACTTGGAATTTAGAAATATGTCACCATCAGTCCACAGAGTATAAGTGCAAGGAAATCTAAACCTTCAATAAATACCTTGACAGTTGATTCATTGAAGAAGTTATCGCAACAGCGCCAGTTGGAGCCTTCAACTTGCTTCTGATTGCAAGGCTTCTTCCATCAGGCAGAGAAAGCCCACTTGTTACAACTGAAAGACAGGAAAAGAAACATACTAAGAAAGTTCAATGCTGAGTACAACAGACAATCAAAAAGACGAGCCCGAGATCGAACATACCCAAATGGGTATGATTATGACGCTTGGAAGTAAGAGCGGGAGAGACAGGATTAAGCAGAACATCATATGCTCCAAGCTTATAGTCTTTGAGTATGATTCTAGAAATGGAAGCCATGGAAGCAGCAATGATCAAAAGCGGGAGAATCAGGCGATTAGAGGGTTCGAGTTCAGAGAATATACTGGAGCATAGATTCTGATACGATTGATTTCGAAAGGGAAATCGCTGTTACGGAAATTGACTACAAAATAACAACGTTGCAGATTTGGATATTTTGAGGCTGTCGTGGAAACGGATAAGCCGCTCATAATCGGCTCGATCTCATCCATCAGCGAAGTTTCACTTTCACAAACGCAGGACCCGGCTGCTTGAAATTTAATTTTAAATCTTATTTCATCAAAATGAATTTTTATAATAACAAGTAATAACTCTTCTTATCATTTTTGTAATTTAAACCATAAATGCCTGAGGATATTTAAAAAAAAAAATTACTGCAGCTTTTCGCCCTCAACATTTACATAGAGATGTAAAAAAAGTAAGCCTCGCTCTTATGAGTCAGGCTTTTAAAAACTTAGACCTTCAAGCTTGATTTTTTGAAAATAATTAGTTTCTAAAATTCAACCTTTATTTGAAGAGATTAGAGTCAAGCTCATAAATCCATTATATTTTATAAAAGATTTTAAAAAAATCAACAAAATAAATAAATACAAAATCTAGATATAAAATCTTGATCAGGTTTTAAAATGAAGATAAAAATCTTCAATTTAGATCAACCTTATCAAATATAATAAATATAAAATCTTGTGTATCACAAAGTACAACACTAATCAAAACTAAGAAATAGGCTTTATAAAGTAATTACGTTGAAGAAATTAGTAAAAAATTTATCAACATTATGTTAAAATAAATGACAAAAGAACTATCATTAATTATTTTGACAGCAGATTCAGTTGAAAAATCATCAACTTTGTTTGTTTGGATGTTTAGTGAATGAATCAATTAAGCACAACTTGGACATGCTACCAGGGTGCTAATAGCAATCCAGATTGTGATTGTTGCTTCCACAAGAAACTTTCTACTTCTTCCAAGAACCATTACTATTACCATCGATTGTCTACCTTTAGGTCCCACTACTACTCTCCTATTGTAATCCTCCCCTATATTCTCTAGATATAGGAGAAGATTAACAGAATTACCACTTAAACACACAATCATTAATCAAAGAACTTAGTTCAAAAAACTTTAGTTGAAGACTTGTTTCACAGGATCATCAAAAGTCATAATACATCAGAAAATATGTAGCGAAAATAAATCAGACATCCATATCATCCATTGCATGCATTATAACCAAGAAAATTAGGTTGAATTATGGGTCATGCACCATGGCGTGTAATACGTGTGCCGCGGTAAGTGGCATAGAGCCATATGCCCAACTTTCTATGTTGTGCGCCAAGGCATGTGATACCATGTGCCATGGTGCGCCTATCCGAAATTTTTACTGTCATTTTGATAGCAAAATGATAAACTTTCGGTGGCGTCGTTTTCACATACAACGTCCAATCGGAGTGATTTAAGCGCCCACATAAAGCTTATCTCATAAGCTAGCTAATGAGATATTTTTGAACAAGATCTAATGATTCAATCAAAATTTGAACCCTCGGGTGTAAAAAGGCACTTTTTTAAAAAAATTTGCACACTTAAGCACTCAAATCGATCCTTTCTCTCATTAGACCACACAAAGCCTTAAATCAAGTCCAAAATGACCTAATAAACCTGATTAACTACAATATATCACATGCACACATGTATATTAAAATTTGACTCCTCAACAATCAATTCCCACATTTCTCAAATTTGCACATATTGTCATTACTTGGCACAACTTAGCCTATTTAGCTTTTTTCTCAAAATAATCACATATATTCACATTCATAAGTTATGTATTACTCAATCTTGACCTCAAAATACCCATTTCATCATGAGTTCTCACATATAGGCTTAAGATTCACCAACATTTGCAATAATTTTAACACAAACATACTCAAATTATAGCCCCTGATTCATTTCATCACAAAAATACACAACTTGGCTAAGATTTCACAAAATCACTACTCAAAACATGCATGCAACACTATAACAACTCATATTCACAAATATACACAAGTTCTTGGTTCATTATACAATCTTAAAGACTTCTATGACAATGGCACCACTATGTTGGTCCTGTCTCTCTCCTGTTTCCTTGATCATTGCTCGATCTTGAAAAAAATGTAACTACGGGATGAGATAAAAATCTTAGTAATGAAATAACTCACTCCTATTTGATTATCAAATGCAACAGTATGAAAGTAAAGCATAATATATCATTTTAACCTTATTAACATTGTATATATCACAAGTTCCACTTAAATCATATCAGTGTTCTATATTTCACTTCTTTACACAAATTTTCACCACTTTACTAGCACAAACATTGCATAGCATTCCATAGCATGATCACTACTGATCGAACCTCCAAATCACCTCGACATGAATCCATAGGCTCGCCTTAGACTAATGTATACTCTTATTGACTATGGTTTCCTCTAACACACATAATGGGGTGTCGTTGACTCCAACACTATATCACATAGACACTAAGAAGCTCCGAATCTCCAACATCGCACCTCAATAGGCACTAAGGAGATCTTCTCCAATATCGTACCTTTAAGGCACTAAGGAGGTATAATTCTCCAACACTGCACCCCGTCGAGCACTAAGGAGAATATGCCATATAGTCTTATCACTATCTCTTCACTTAAGTGAACTCCCACCCCTATAATCATACTTTTCGAACCATTCATAGATTTCCATGTACCACTTTACATGCTTTCTCATACCTAACATATATATGTATATATATATTAATTAACATATCATTTGAAATCACCCATTTCAATGCTTTTATTTAATCAAAAGCTATTTCATGCAACATTCACACAATGCTATAAAATATGCTTAATCCAAAACAAATTCATGCACTACATAGCATACTCACACACAGTTACAATAAATAGTCAAACAAAGAAAGTTATTCAGTTACTTCAATCCTTCTATTACTAGAAAGGTTACCCGTAGATTTCAACTACTATAACAACTTATCACAAGCTTCCTTTCTTAACTCACACATCTAATATGCCAATTTAAACACATTTGGCACATTTAATCATTTGTCTATTTTGACCAAAAACACACATTTACTACTTAGGGCTATATTCATTCGTAAACTCTTTTCCATTTATCCATTCTAAGTCCATTATTAGTCAATTACTACTTTATATCACCTCAATAGGTCTCATTTCACTCAAATTAGATTCTTACTCCTTTCTCTAAAACCTAGGGCCAAATTGAGCCTACGGGTCTATCATTCAGCTTTAAACTAGATGCAAAGCTCTAATTTAACTCTTAAAAACTTTTTTATTACTATTGGGCAAGAAAATCCTTAAAATCTCTCTGATTCAATTTCCTTACAACTCATTTTTAGATAAATTTGTGTAGATTGGAAGATAAGTCTCATGCTGCCTTAATCTCCAATTCTACCTTATTTTCTCTTAGGCTATATTTGGTAGCATTGAATTGGCAAGGTGGAAATGGAATCAAAGATGGAATCCTAATTTAAGCATGATTGGTATGCAAGAGTTGCAATTCCTAAGAATCCGAATTCCACCAAAAATACTAGAATTCAATTCCATCATATTGACCATGGAATTGCTTCAATTCCCTTGAATTCAATTTGTGGACCCTACTATCCTCATCTTTTTTGTCCATTTATAATAAGATAGGTCTTTTTAATTTTAAAAAAAGGGCAATTTAGTCTTTTTCTATTTTAAGTACATATATAAATTAATATTATATTAGAATTCCATCTTCACACCAAACACACTTTTAAAACTCAATTCTATTCCAATTCTGATTCCGATTCCAATTCCAATTCTGATTCTGATTCCCATTCCATTAAAAACTCTTCCATCATACCAAATGAGGCCTTAGTTTTAACTAGTGAGAAATTGAATTCAAGAATTTTAAGAGTTGATTTCTTACCCTATTGTAATAGAAAGGTTCTCCAGAACTAAACTAGTACTTTGTGACGGGTTTGAGTCAGAACGATAAAGCTTTGAAGCTGTAGGCATGATTTTCCCTAATCTAGAAAGAGAGAATAGTGAGAGAAATTTAGCTAGGTGAAGGTTAAAGCTTGAAATGAGGGGTAATCAGTTGTGATGTGCATTGGTGATAGCGATTAGGTGGTTAATTACGATAATTGGCACTTTTTGTCAATAGTGACATTGACTTTGGGTGCCTAAATTGTGTAGATTCTAGCGTGTGACATACAAATTATAAGAAAGGAGCTTGAATAGGGTTGTTGGAACACGAGTAACCCTTTCTAGTAAATAGAAGGGTTGGGATAACCATATAGATTATGAGAAATTTGATGTTTTATGAGTTTTATGCATAAACTTGACTTTGTAAATAATTTTTAACATGAAAATCAATTTGTGAAATGAAATGTAAAAGGTTACCGATTTCAATTGATATATATATATATATATATATATGTATGTATGTATGTATGTATGTATATGTGTTATGAGATTATATATTATAGAAATGTGAAAGAGTAGTGAAAATTGTGAAAAGATTATGATCATAGGGGGTGAGAGTTCACTCAGGGTATGTGGGGATGTGTGGGTGTGGAGAAGTGAGTGAAAAATTCATATGGTCAGGTTAGCACTATGGGACATCCGTTGTAGTATCATATGGGCTGTTACTATGGGTAATTTGGTACAACATACTATGGAATTGTTACAATGGGACATCCGAGTAGTCTGGCAACTCCTTAGTGCTGGTTAGGGTGCGATTAGGAGTCAACGACACCTCTATTACAAGTTTGTGACAAGGGAAACCATAGTTCATAGGTGGGTTAAATTACTTTTAGTCGAGTGTTTCTACCACCAAAAGTGTGCTCGGGTTAACAAGTGGCTGATCTAGGAGAGCCTATAGTTTTGTGTCGAGAAGCATTAGAGGTTCGGTGGTTAGATGATCATGCTAATGTATATTTATGTGAAAATAATTTGAGAGGATGAAATTTCTTCATATTTTGATATATATATATATATATATATTTGGTATTACCCTAGTTTTGTTACTTTAGCATGGTTATTTGTGATAATAAACATCTAACGAACTGTATTAGTTACTGAGATTTTTATCTCACCTATGGTTACATATTTTTAGGTTCTAACATTAGTGGGTCAAAGGGGA